TTGCAAGCAACGCTTTAGATAAGGGCCTAATATCCAAAATATACGAATAACTCATATGACTCAATAACAATAAAAAAACAAATGATCCAATCAAAAAATGAGCAGAGGACTTGAACAGACACTTCTCCGTCGAGTACATACAAATGGCCAACAAATATATGAAAAGATGCTCAATATCGCTAGCTATTAGGGAAATGCAAATCAAAACCACAATGAGATACCATCTCACACCTGTTAGAATAGCTATAATCAGGATAAGTAATAACAAATTTTGAAGAGGATGCAGAGAAAAAGGAACCCTCATACACTGCTGGTGGGACTGCAAATTGGTACAGCCACTATGGAAAACAGTATGGAGGTTCCTCAAAAAACTAAGAATGATCCAGCAATTCCTCTATTGGGTATTTACTCCAAAGACTTGAAAACCCATATCTGAAAAGATATTTATACACTGATGTTTATAGCAGCATTATTCACAGTGACCAGGACATGCAAGCAACCGAAGTATCCTATGAGAGATGATTGGCTAAAGAGGCTGTGGTACATATATACAATGGAATATCACTCAGCCATAAGAAGAGATGAAATACTGCCATTTGCACCAACATGGCTGGACCTCTAGATAATCATGCTAAATGAAATAAGCCAGACAGAAAAAGTTGAAAATCACATAATATCACTTATATGAGGGATATAAACCTAAAACAACAAATGAGCAGGATAAACAAAGAGAGACTCATGGACATGGACTATAGACTAGTGGTTACCAGAGGACTATAGAGTAGTGGTTACTAGTGGGGTAGGGGAGGAGTGGGGAGGTAGACAGGGTAAAGGGGGTCAAATATAGGAGTAAGGGTAAGGCGAAGTGGGTAAAGGGTATCAAATGTATGGTAGCTGAAGGAAGCTGAACTTTGGGTGGTAAACACAGTAGAATATATAGATGTCAAATTATAATGTACACCTGAGAATTATATAATTGTATTAACCAATGTTACCCCAATAAACTTATGAAAAATAAAGAAGTTCATACAAAAATTAGACTACAAAATTTTGCTAGTTGTTTTTTAATTTATTGTTAATACAGATTTTCTCTTTTCTAAGAAAAATGTTTTGTCTCTCACATCAAAAGCTCATTGTGAGAATTTCATTAGCTTTTGTAGATAAAGCACTGGGAACACTGACTTATACAAATGGTAAATGACAGTCAAGAGTAAAGAGTTATTAAATTATATCATATCACATTACAGTATATTATATTATATTATAGATAAAAGCTTATTCTGGATACTGTAGGAACACAGTGAGTGGTGTTCCAAGCTAAAATCAGAGAAATTTCCTTAAGTGATTAACACCTGAAATAACAAGAAATAGCCAAGTGAAGAGATTTTCTGAAATGCTTAGGTTAATGAGTCCAATTTTTCAAAGGAAGCAGAATATTCAAAGACAGAATTTATTCATTTATTCATATTTATTCATTACAAACATTTATTAAGCATTGATTATGCATTAGGCATTATGCTAAGGATCATGGATATTAAGGAGATACTTGCAGCTTAAAATTTAGAGGGAAGATAGTAATACCAAGTATAATGATTATTGGAAACTGAGGTATCAATGAACAGATATTTTATAAGTATACATATCCATGTCTATTTTGACTAATATTGGGTTTTGCTCAATAAAAACGCTTATGGCCATCTCTTCTTAAGAGCATGTCTTCAGGTATTCTTTGGTTGTCTGCATATGCCCTGTGGCATTTATTCTACCAGCTCTTTATATCTAGTTACGTTGGCACTATTAGCAAGTACTCTACACAGCTGCAGAAGTACAAGATCTATTTCAAAACAATTTATATAATGTGACTCTCTGCTCTAAGCTGGTATTTTTTTGGGGGGGGGAGTGAGAGAATTTTAATGTATTCACAAAATTAAATGGAAGGAAAAGAACACACTGTAGATACAATTTAAGACAATTTAGAATTATAAACAAAATGTGAGGTAGACTAGTGAAATTCACCAAATTTTATTTAAGAAAATTTTACAGTATAAAGTAACACAGGTGCCTCCTTTTCTAAAAATCACAAAAAAGCAATTGCATAAATTACAGCCAGAAAAAAAAGAGAATACAATACTCATTCTAATTTTAGTTTACATTCAGTATTAACCTGTGTGAACTTCATACGTAGCAAGGTTCAACAGACCTACAGGTCTATAGGAGAAAACTGGAGAAGAAAATGCTTGTAATTATACAGGAAAAAATACCACAAAAGAAGGAGGTTTGATTAGAAATCCTCTGATGTAAAAATTAAGAAATTAAAGGTCTTTTAATGCCTTTAGTACTCAAAAGTTTAATACAAAAATATTTGAACTTCTATGATGTATATGGACCTATGGTAGGTGTAAATGCTTAGTTTTATGAGGAAAAATAAGAAGCATGTTAGTGATGACAACTGTGATGATATCACTAACTAGGAATTAAGAAAACTTGACTTTCAAATCAAGTAAAATTATCCTAGAGAATGGAAGAGCTAAGGTTCTCTGAGAAGATTGTTGGGCCAGATTCAGTTATTTTCCTGGCTTGTCTAGCTTCCTTCCTTGGCCAAAGCCAGGAGTCTGAATTTGGCATTAGGAGCAGTAAATTAATAAATTTTAGCATATTAAGGCAGGAAAGTCATTTAACTTATGTATAAATAAAAAGAGGAATAAATGAAGTCAAAATATGGTGTTAACTTTTGGCTATGTGGAAAGGTTCTCATCTATCTGAAACTTAAAATAGGTGATTGAAAATGTGGTCACTCTTTACTTGAAGTCTAATGGATTTTGTACTTAATTATGTTAGGTAATCATAATAATAATTAATATTTATAATGAAGTAGTAGCTAATTATTGGGCACGGATCAGATATCTATCACCATGTTGGCACTAACCTGTTTCTTAATTTATATTAATGAAAGCTATGAGAAAGAAATAAAAAGTTGGATATAGTCTCCTAGAGTTTTATCTAATTTAAAAATTAGTCTTTATTTCTTTTTAAAGTCTTTATTTTGATTCTAAGTTTGTATACATTTCAGGATTACCTAAGAACCTTTGCTCTTCATTTCTGCATTCTGTTTGATTTTTGCTAGCTTTGTTTTGATAAAGAAATTATACCCATTTCCCTTTAGCCACTTACTCTCTGTGTAACTTTGGACAAGTCACTTATCAAACTCTGTAAACCAGTTTCCTTATCTGTAAAATGTTGACAGTTATAATACATTTTTTTAGAGTTTCTGAGAAGATTAAATAAAGAATTTAAGTAAAACTCTGCATAGTACTTAGCAAGAAATAGAATAAATACTACCAATTGCAAACAAGAGAAAAAGCATAAAGCTATACTTTGAAAATGACTGATCGTTGCTAATGATAATAAGTTTTGAGCACTTAGTATGTATTTATACTGTGTGTTGCAAGCATTTCGCAAGTAGTATCTCATGTAATCTCAAACAACTAGGTGCTATTAGTATTCAAATTTACAAGTGAAAAATAATGTTAAACAGAGAAGTTAAATAACATCTCGAGGTCACGCAGCCAATAAATGGTGGAATTAAGATTCACACTTAGACTAACTCTAGAGTATACATTTACATTAAGCTATGCTTCTTCTTATACCAGTGATAGTTATAGAAGAGAATGGCAGGCCTCCAAATTGAACATTTAAAAAAAAAAAAAAGGAAATTTGGTAGGAAGATCTTTAAGGTAATAAATAAGTGATAAGATCAGATATTGAAAGCCAAATAGAAATTATGGGTGATCGGAATAAACTAAGACATGTACCTGACACTAAATAAATATAAATATTAAAAATAAACAAATAAATCAAGTAAACCAATGTTGAATCTGTAAAGCCCCAAGGCACGTAATTGTGTATCATAGAAAGAACTGACTAATATCTGACACACTGCATATGTACGAGGTACAGGTGGAAATAGGTGTGGTCGAAGGTTCCCTCAGCCTTGATTGAGTTAAAGGTCTAAATACGGCAGCTAGAAAATAATTATACTCTTAGTCTAGGATAAATAATATGAATATCAAATTATATTAAATGATATAAAGTAAATAATTATACTCTTTTAAGAGACTATGTGTTACAAAATATCCTTAATTTTGCCATAGTGATAATGCCAACACTTTTTTCTTTAGTTTGAGATATTACTGAATAGAAAAGTAAATCAAAACATATCTACTTTCAATGATGCTATGATGATACATAAATTTTAAGATTTATTTAAAATGTAAAAGACAAAGCACTAAAAATTCTAAATGGTTCACTTCCATTCAAATATATTTGACTCTATTATTAGAAATTATAATCCAAAAGTAAAATTATGATCATTTTAATATCAAAAAGAAAGTAATGGCAAACTTGTTTTGAGTCATGTTTGCTACTCTGTTACATTAAAGTATTTCTGTTTAATAATATGCAAGTCCATAATTTTTCTGAATGCTAAAATCAGAAATATAATCAGCCACTTAGATGTGACAGTACTCTATCCAAAAAGTTTGTTGAACAAGCTTCAAATACAGTAAATTCTTTAAAACTCTAGAATTTAATTTTGAATTTTAGTGCACTTTGTATATATTAGCAGTACAGTAAATATATTAGAATATCATTTCAACGTGCGATCACCTCCATTGATATTGGCTAATATTATCAGTCAGTGTAAAATTTAAATAAAGTTAGTAACACTAATGATACAGTATTATAAAACTTTTGCAAAAAAATACAAAGAATCATAAACATTGACACAAATACTAAACTACTTGGCTAACGAATCAACACATTAAATTAGTATTTTAGCTCTAATCGCCATATCTCTATGTTTAATTATATTTTATATATAATTTTCATATACGTACATTAGGACTATTGAGAATTTAAAAAATTTGTTTTAAATACAATTTTCCATCTTTATCTTTTTTACCTTCCTATCTTACCTTTTTTACCTATCTTTTTTACCATACCTTCAAAGTAACTATTTCTTCTGGGTTTTGTCTTCTTTGGTAATTTTGTAACAGAAACTTTATTTTCATTGCTTTTGAATAATGCTAGGCGCACAGTGGGATCTAGACCAAAGAGCAAAATAAGACAGAAGTTCAGTTCTGGCTCTCTACTTCTCTGAAATAGATATATATTTTTTATAATATTAAAAAATGATACCACCCTATAAAACTGTGATATTGATGATGATATTTTTAAAAGACGCATAACATGAAAAGATAATGAACTATTCATTATTCTTGATTATTTGATTAAACACATAGCCACTACTTAATACAAAAGTAGACATACTGATAATGTGAAAATATCTACATTTAAATTTTCCAGTTATGACATTATGATTTTATTCGGGGAGTTGCTTCACTATTTGTCATTTTAGCTTCTTTATTAAATACTTGATATTTCTGCTGAAATAAAGTAAAATTTCCATGAATGAATAATAGGTATAAGCTATTAGTATAGGAAAAACCATATACCCTACTTTTTTCTCCTCTAAACTCTGAGAAACTTGGATAGATAAGATGGAAGCAAGATAATAACTCACTCCTAATGGGATGAGGAACAGATAAAAATGATTATGTCATTAATCAAAGATGTGCTAATCTATATATTTTTATAGTCAAGAGAATTCTAAATCTATTAATTTTATAAAATAAATAGTATGATTATAAATGCAAGGCTCTATAATCTTTTATTGGTAATGAATGGTTCTCTAGAATGTCCAGTCTAGTTGAATTAAGATGAAATGTTTTTGCTTATTGATGAACTGTGAGAAAAGAAAACAGTTAAGTAACAAAGAGTAGAATAAAAAGTGGAAAGTTATGCATTTAAAGTAAGTTAACTTAGTTCTACACCCGAAACTAATGAACTGGTTTATGTTAATTATACCTCAATAAAAAAAAATAATAAAGTAGATTACCATAAAACCACAATTTAGGTCAGCATACATTTTCTTAATATCATACATCATCTTGCAAGAAGAGACTTTAAGACTCTGATTAAGATCTAGCGTAATAGAATTGAATATGCAAAATGAAAAAATAAGATTTTAAATACAATAAAGTCCAAAATACATATTTAAATTAAATGCTAAGATAGCATTTTTTAGAATGTAAATTAGAAAAGCAGAATAGTATTTACAGGGTTATTCTCAAGCATGAGCAAAATGAAGATTTCCATTAGTCTACTAGTAATAATTTATCATTACTAAGCATGATTTACATGCTTCAGAATATATTTCTCAAGATTAGGGAAAATAAATGTCAATATTTGGGCACTTCTCATAATTATATGTGTCCTAAGGTATAATAAGAGTTGAGTGCCTTTATATGTATTTAATATGAGTTATCAATAAGAATAATAAAAACCTTATGTATATTTAATAGAATAAAACATCTAAGTCATTTCCAAAAAACGTATTAACATGTCGAAAAGAACTTAGTCAGGGAGGATATATTACCATGGGGTTATATACTGTAATGATACCTTATTATAATCTGACAATTTTTCCTCACATTCTCATGATTTACCTTTCTATTTAAATATGTATTTCCTGAGCAAAGACATTACAATTAAACAGATGTGGGTTAGATCCAAGCTCCAACTTATACTAGTTGTATGACTCTGGACAAATTTCTTTCACCTTCTGCCTCTTCCTCTGTCCAATAGAAATAATAATGACTTTGAAATATTACAGTGAGATTTAATGAGATAATGTGTATAAAGTATCGAGACTTGTTCTTACATAAGCTCAGGTGCTCAACTAATGGCAGCTGGTAAACATACAGTTACAACATAAACAATAATAATATTTACAACTTACATTCTTAGAAAAATGTTTAAAGCCTTCAGAGAATATGGTGAAATATATTGGAAATAGACCGATGAATCCATAATCGATTTTGTTTTATTCAATATACCACATGGGATAAAAGCTATGGATCTTTTATCAGTTCTTTAGCACTCCTTGGGTAAATAACAATCTATGGATTGATTTCTTAATATATGAAATATGGATAACAATAGCACTTATATATTATCAAGATTAAATAAGCTAATACATATAAAACTTTTAAGAGTTGTCTAGCTCAATTTACTCAATAATATAATTTTATTCATCAAGAGCACATAAAAATGCTAGATTTTCAATATCCTTTTATTTCAAAACACTCTGATTATACCATCTTAAATTGATTTAAAACTTAAATTAATTCAAATTGCAAAGAGATAAGGATAAGCAAGAAACATAGTAATTCTAGATGGGAAAAAAAAAAACAAACTTAATTTTGATAGTACCTGGAAATACCACCATGAATAAGATACTATTCTCATCAAAAACTACACAACTAAGTATGAAAGCCTGGAGAGAAGGATATTGTAAGGATACAGCTTGTGACATCTTTTTCTTACATTGTAAAATCAGGTTTGTACATTTAAAACAACTCCTCTGAGATCATCAGTAACACATATATCTTGCTGTTTTCTCAAGTCTTTGTGTCTCCCAGTATGACTTGCCCAGTATCTGGTGAATAGATTTTAAATACATCTTTATAAAAAAATTTAAAGAAACCCATAAGTAAACTGAGTTTCTATTACGCATGTGGCTCTATACTCAACATTTTATATCCATCATCTCATTTAAGTAACATAGTTTTATTTAGGCATTAGAATATCCTGAAAATTATTTCTTCCCAATATAATTAATCCCTTTTCAGTTTCTGTAATCCTAATCTTAGCTCACTAGTTTATTTTACTCTCATTAACTTCATACAGGAAAAGCTGGTTATTATCCATTCGCTATATGTGCCCAAAACAACAGTGCTGTAAAATAAATTTTATCTTACATTTGGATGAGTAGTTATATTTCATCATCTCATTAAGAATATTATTTACTAATTTAAATTTGCCTTCCCAAATATAAACATGTGCCTAAATGACTATAATACACATATATAATCATATACATACACACAGTCAAATGTATTTAGTGACTTTTATGTAATTTATTACTGATTTGGTTAACATTTATTTATCGAATATCTGCCACAGGCATGGTATTAGGTTCTGGGAATTCAGTTGGGTAACAAGTAGAGGCCCTCCGCAATCTTACTATTCAAATGGGTTTTATTATTGCTTTGTTGAGAGCACAACAAAGTAATATTTGATCAAAATTTTTGTAAATTCTTTCTTGAAATTACTGAGTTAACAAAAGAAATCATCAAAAAACTCATTTTACCATAGTTTTGTCTATATCGTTCGTCTTTGATCTCTCCTCTGTAACATTCCTTAGTTACCTTATCATTTGGCAACATGATTTCTTTGCTGTAGCCCCTGAACTGCTTTAATTCACATTAGAAAGTTAGCCTTTCTAATTTTCTAGCTAGCTTAACTCTTGGCTATAATTAAATGTTACCAACAGAGTCTCATGCTATTTTCTTTATTGAAATAAAATCAACAAATACTGAATGCTTAACATGTATTCGACAGTGTACTAGGTGTTACAAACAGCTGCAAAATGATTCTTATCCCTAGTTGTGACTCTACATTTATAGCTCAATTAACCTTGTTTGCTTCATCCTATTCTTTTCTCTAATTATGAAATTTGAAATGCATAAATATGATAAATGTTGGAAAACCACATTATATCTTCATCCTTCTATTCTTTGCCCTTAAGCCTCTTACCATCTGTTCTCCACAAAATCCCTATATTCAGAACTCATCCTCTCTGAGGAATGCTCCACATCAAAACCAGTCACTCACTCTCCTTGTTCACCTGGGTTATCTCATTCTTACTACCTTATACTCACTACCTTTAGGTTATTGACCCTCGTGTTTTCAATAAACCAGTAACTCTCACCTTGCACATGATGTGTTTTACTGTAGTATATTAACTCTAAACTTCCCTGGGTATCTATTAATTTCCAATGCAGATCACTACATTCTGAAATTACTTTGGTGCATGACAAATTAGCAATAACAAAAACTAGACCAGTCATAACTGTTTTGTGCTTATGTCCACCATAAGGGAAATAGCAACAACTTATTAGGAATAACAACAATCAGAACTCAAACCCAAACTGAATCAATCATAATAACCACTCCCAATTTTATATTTTCTTCTGTGGCTTCCAATCAATTTCCCCCGCTCCCTCCTCCTCCTGCTTCTTCCGTTTAAAGCAGATGGGCTCATTTATCCCTGTAGAAGTCATCAATACTGAGTCTCTCATGATAGCTCCCCACACCACATGTTTGCACAGCCCCTTTCATCTTCATTAATCAGCGTTCTCAGTGGGATTCTTCCTCTATCTGCAACTTTCTAAAGTAACTGACACCATGCCTTTTGCTCTGTTTTCACTCTCATAATAAATCAAATATTTTAGACTCATTTATCCCTTGGCTAATAAATACATGTACAAGATACAAAAAAGAAATATCATTGTTTGCTACTGACCAACTTGTTCTAAAGTTTTTCATGGAAGAAATATGAATCAAAGTTTCCATACTTCGTGAATGTATGCCCACCTCCTTGAGGATTATTGCTTTGTTAGACTGTAGGATATAACTGGTTCCATTTAATTAAAAGTTTCTATTTTCTGAAGCCCTCATCTGCCACCCTCCATACTCCCACAGATGGGATTTGTCTCTAGCAATTTTAGGAACAATGTTGCCCTCTGGTGGCTTGAAAATTTCAAGTTGGCCAATTGTCCAACATTAGTTTCAACAGAATTTAAGTATGCTTACAACTTTAATTCATTAGTGAGTAAAGTTTTAAAATTATGGCCAGTATTTTAGGCATATTCAAATAAGTTAATAGCATATCACAGACTGAATTATAAAACTGGAAAAGTACTAGAAAATGGTTTATTCTATAAGAAGAAAACCCAAGTTACAGAGTCTTCAATAATTTCCTTACAGATACAAAATGACATAATTGCTACATCATCAACCTGGTAGCATCATAATTGGAGAAGATCCAAGTTATTTTCTTTTTCATGTTTTTCATCTTTAATCTTACCTTGAATATTTCTATTCTGAATTGTGAAGGGGGAGTAGAAAAACGAGTGAGAAGAATTTAAAGGTTATCATTAAGTTTTAAATTTCAGAATTCAAATTTTAAAAATGGCCTTTATCTTATCAATCTAACAGTATTTTGATAAAACACAAAGCAAAACAAAAGCTTAATAGAGAGATATAGAACCTCACACAGTAGTAAGAATGCAATTGGGTTTATCATCATGTAATTAGAGTAAGAATCCCCATAAAAATTATACAATTGCCATTTTAGATTTTTACATAAAAGGTCATGCTTAATGACTACATGTCAAGATGTTAAATTTAAGACATGGTTGTTAACTTGGATATCTGGGTGTAATTTTTTATTTGTTACCCTATCATGCCCCCTTGTGACAGATAAAAAGAGGTTTAATTTTTGCCTGATAATAGTTATATCCACTTTTTAGCCATTAACGCAATGATTTTTATGTATGAGCATATACTCCTTATTGAAACTTTTGCTAAAACATATTATTTGCTATGCTCATTTATTAAAAATGTACTCAACCTAAAAAAAAATCACTAAGTTACAATTAGCAAGAAAGACATATATTTCCAGACTGATTCTAACAAAATAAACCTATTCTTAGCTGCTCTATCAGAGATTATGCAAACACTGTAAATATCTAAAAAAAATAAATAATATAAATATTAAACATAAATAATAATAATATTTTGAACATTGGCTGAATCAGTTCTTAGCCATTTTTGATATTTGAACTACCCCACAAAACAGCTATTTAAATAACGTTCGTCAATACTGCTGAAGATGAATAGAAATATACATTTAAACAATACAAAAGTTTATTAAATGTACTGTTGTAGATTCCATTTTCCTAGGACTGAGAGTCTCACTATTGTTAAGGGTTTGGGTTACTATTTCTCTGGGTAACCACCTTGTAGTATTTAGTTCACAAACTTTAACAGGAGTTTACGAAATAAGAGTGTGGGAGGCATAAAGCAAGCAGATAAACAGAGGATATATTTATATTTTCCATAAAAATGCTTAAAACTTTAATACTTTATACCTGACAAACTTTTAGTACACAACAACAAATATTAGTTATCTCAAAAGATAAAATTAAGATATCACTAATATAACACCAAAAAAGGAAAGTTGAACATTTGTGAATTCAAAAATGGATCATCAGTATTTTATCGAATGCTGTGCTAATAAATATGTTATTCCTCAGAAACCAACAGTAATTTGGTTAGTTCTACTTGTTTTTTAAAATTAAATATATATACAGTATATATTTCTTAGAATTCTATTGAGCTAATTAAAAATAAATAGAAAAATTAATAAAGATAAAAATTACCTTCTGAATGCTTCTCTGTATGTTTACCTAAGCTAGAACTGGAGGATAAGTATAGAGTCTTTGCTCTTCTCAGGACTAAAAGTACTTTTGTGGAAACATTTCACTGACATTAAGATTTTTATAAAAGAAACTGATGAGCTAGAGAAACTCAAAACAGTTTAAAAAAGTTATGTTACATATTTAAAGCCTATGAGTTCATGAGGAAATATTTATAAAGTTATGAGTAAATGCAGTTACATGCAATACACAAAAAACTTAAGTGGTTATAATTAAAAAGTCATAATAACCTATTATTTGCCCTGACACCTTTTACCTACTCCACATATTAAGTAATTATACCAAAATGATTAAATAGAAAGACAAATGATTTGAAGAATAGCTTGGCAAGTGGGATAGAAAAAAAGATGCCTTTGAAAATTTGGAAGTTCTGCGTAATCATGAAAGGATACATATCATTGTGTTCCTTTTCCAAAGTGTCAAGTTGTAAAGTCTTCGATGCTAATATTCATGGAACTGATGAATTTATATAGTTTACTGCATAAACGATCAATTTAGAAACACACAAAGAAATAAGCACATGAAGCAGGTGCTCTTTAAAATCAACTTTTGCCAAAATGAATCAGTTTAGAAATAAATTACAGCACAATTTTCAGTGCACGATAGAATAATCAATAGGAAAGCAGATAAGAAATAGGGGAAAGGTGAAAATAGCATTTAAGAGTATGACAAATCATTTAATGTGATAACATAATTTTCTCTGTTTTCTTCATTTCTTTTTGGAATGATTACTTTAGACATTAATATCTGTGCATTTCATTTCTGTTCTTATTAAATATAATTTGATAAAAATATTTTAAAATAATTTATCTTCAATATCAAACGTAGTTATTCAAAAAGCATTGATTACATACCTAATTTTTTCCTTAGTTTCTTTGATTTCATATTCTGTGCTCTCTTCAGCATTTGCTGAGCAGTAGAAATATCCTTAAAGCCCCTATTAAAAGATTAAATTTAATAAAGGCAAAACAAATATCCAGATCACATTTATATATGCACATCCATATAAACATACATACCGGAATTATATCATATTAAAACAAATTTGGATTCCTATTTACGAATCTGTAATTTAACAGATTCATAGTTTCTTAAAAGCTAAAAAATATATTCTTGAAGTCTTGAAAAATATTTGCCTTGGACATTTAAAATTCTCCTAATTTTAAAAAGTCTGCAAATATTTTAGAGTAAAGTAGACCACATACCATTCTTCTGAGATTTTTTCCTCTTTTTCAGATTTTAGCAAATTCTTTCTGCTGGTCTTTGATTCAGGTGTCCGGGATAAAGTTCTATTTTCTGATCTGGCAATAGAAAAAATTGCACAACTGAATCAATACAAGTATATCAGCACTTTTTAAACTGCGAGCTATTTATGTTGTCTCAAACTTGAAAGTAAAATCTATTTAAGTTACAGAAAAGCTTTATCTTGAAAAGCAATAAATGTCTGCCATTAATTTAAAATGTTTACATTTCAATTACTTGAAGCATATTTCAATCCTTTTGTCGAAAGAAATGCAGCCCTGGAATTTTTATTCTAAGCCTTATCTTTACCTATATAGCAGTATTTAAAAGTCTACTTGTTTACAATTAATTACATTATTTTACTGACACTTAAGTTTTGTAGTTACTTGAATGAGTAGATCTTATGTCCTTTTCTTACACTAAAAATTCCAGAAAATCATTATATTTTAACACTAAATTTTCTTCCATCTTCTAAACAAGTAAATTTGCTCCTATTTTTACTATTTTAGTAACTTCTATAAGGAGTATAATATTCTTCATAAGCATGTCATTCACAGGTTGATCCTCTAAAGAGTAATTTAGCTTACCTGCCATTAAACTGCATGTATTCCGATGAAAACATATTTTCTTTCTCATTACACATCCATGCTTGAGCTGGCTGACTTGGTAAATTAAGTGAAGTATCATCATAGTTTAAAGTTGCAGAGAACTTATAAGAAAAAAAATGTACATAAATGTAAAAGTAAATTGAAAAATTTATTTACATTATTAGCATTTACATTGTATTACTTTACATCTATAGTATTAAGTAGCCTCCTATGGGAAACTCACATAAAAAAAGAAAATTATAATAAAATGAAATATATGGAAAACACATATAAATGTCCTTTGTTGTAGTGATGAGGAATATGCTTTTTGGTATAGTTTGCATATACAAAATGATTAATTAAAAAGATCTTCAAAAAAACTCAGGAAACAAAAACTTCAAAGATTATCAAATAAATAGCAGATATTGCAGTCCATTGACCTCTGACTGAGAATCTTCAGCTGTTGCCCTCTTAATGCATATTTTTATATTTTTAAAGTGCTTTCAACTAGTGATTTTAGTCTACTGCCAAATATGCAGCTGAAGTGTATCATTTTTTTTTTTTTTTGCTACTGTGAAATAGAGTGTTGAAAGAAATCCAAAATAAAGAAAAAAATTAGGAGCAAATGAAAGAAAAGCTACATGAATAATTACATCTGGGGAAGAAGAGGAAGTCAGAGGCTTCTAGAAGTAATTGTGTTTTTCAAGTCAATAAATTGTATTATTAATCACTGCAGCATAGCGTAACCTTAAAAAAATGAGCAAAGATCGAGCACTAAGAGGTTTCCATGACATGTTACCTTTGGCCAGTGCAGCTGGTTTGGGAGAAGCAGTGTTTGTGAAGGGAAGCGGGCGGAATCTAAAGCTAGCCATTCTTTTTCTAAGGCAGCCTGCACAAATAATAACATTAATGTACATAATTTAGTTTGCATAACTTTTATAAAGTCTTTAAATTCCCTTATATACTATAAAAATTAAGAAAGTATGTCATAATTTTTGTTTATAGGAAAATTTGTTACTTGATATTGTGAGATGTTATGTATCTGTTTAATGAAATCATTCTAAAAAATGGAATAAGAATTTTTTATCCCCAGTGGCATAAAGTGAGAATTCAAGTACTAAAGTGCTCTAAAAAATAAGGGGTGCAGATTGTTCAGTGTACTTAATCGTTTGATAATTATGACTCGGAAACAACTCTAGATGTAACTGAGGGTAATAATCTATTAGCACTTTATAATATAAATTATAATTTTTTCCATTAAACCTCACTATTGAAAATTTATAGTAGTTTAACACATTAGTATCAAGTTTTCTATTAACACTATCTGTAAGACAGCTTTTACTTAATTTTTTCCCCAAATTTAACAAATTTTCTTAATAGATGGAAAAAAGAATTTTATGGCAATATAAAAAACACGGTTCTTGATGTTCTATTCTCTAATTCAAGTGTTTGAATGATAAAAATATGAATATAAATTTTGAAAAGATCTTATTTTAAATTCTTTCACTCTTTATCTTAAAACATCTTTTTTCTACTTATGTAATTTCCAAATTATTTTAACTTTATACAATGGAACAATACTAGTTATGCTAGTTTGTATAATTTAGGATAACATTATCTAAATTTTATTTGCTTGAATTATCTAACATGGTTTAGAATAAATTTCCATGTTTCTATAATGTTTTTTAAATCTTTACCAAAAAAAAGATGATCAGAATACCAATGAACTTGTTTTTTCAAAGGTTCTAAAATGATCAAACATATTTATGATTTAAAGACTAGAATGACTATATTCTGAGGAGAATTCAATGCAATTTTCCTTTATACCATTTTCAATGTTTCTTGACTATTGCTTGAAAGACCATTGGGAAGGCAAGACTAAGACATCCTGACTAGAGGCTAGCTGTGCAGCGATAGACTTTTACTTACGTTCTTTAGTTAGGAAACCAATTCATGTTATTTGAATATACATGTAAATAGGACACCTTTACTTAGCTGTCCAATTCCTTCTAGGCAGATATTTTTAACATATATATCACAGTTATATACCAGTTATATCTGGTTTAAGAATATATATCTGGTTTAAAAATGCTACCTGATGAAAAAGTGCAAATAGGATTCAAATCTCAGATTTTTTAATTCTTTCTTTTGTATGACAAATAAAGGAAAATCCAGATCTATCTCAGGAAGGACCAAGGCCTACACGCATATCATCTATTAGCAAATTAGCATTCATTTTTTCTTTATTAAAATTTAATTTTCAAAGTCGACATACAATATTATATTAGTTTCAGGTGTACAACATAGTGATTAGGCATTTATATACCTTACGAAGTGTTCCCCCGATAAGTCCAGTCCCCATTCGATGCCATATATAGTTATTACAATACTGTTGACTATATTCCTTATGTTGTACTTTACATCCTCGTGACTATTTTTATAATTGGCAATTTGTTCTCTTTTTTTTTCCAGGTTTATTGAAATATAATAGACAATTAGTTGCTTGTATTTACATTGAACAAGTCAATGAGTTTTTTTTCCAATTCTAGTTGGCATACAATAATATATTAGTTTCAGTTGTACAGCATAGTGACTAGTATTCTTACTGTGGTGAAAATTGCTAAAGTGAAGAAAAGATGTGAAGATGTAGAGATAATATTATAAAAGGCAATGTGCCAGAGGATTCTGGGAAGATGGCAAAATAGAAAGCATCAGGAACCTGTCACTCAACCCAGACAACAATTGCATTAGCAGAATCTGTCTGATGTATTTTGGAACTCTGGAGTCTATTGAAGGCTTATAACTTTCAGGGGAAGAACTGGATGGTAAATTATGGTTAATTTTGGTCAATTTCAGCTCTTAGCACAGTAGCAGCTATTTATCTTCCACTCCCAACCCTCAGGCAGACAGCTGTTCATGTGTTCCTGCAGTAACTTGCACATAGTTTGTAGGAGTCAGGATAAACAATGAAGACTCTGTCCTGCAAATATTAGGGATTTGTGCTCTAATTGCTGATTGTTGCTTCTGATCACAGAAGTGCAAAGAGGTGCAAAGAGCCTTTGTTCTTGCACCTCCTCTAATGTTGTAAGCCTCTACCCTACCAGCTAAGTGATTTCCAGGGGATTTAACGGGTTAGTATCCTTCTCTCTGCCCCTTCATTTTTCTCTTTTTCTTCTTTTGAGATCCAGACATTAAAGACTAGAGTATTCATTAAAAATATTCTAGAAGCATAAAGAGAGTATTTAATATAAAATGCTAAAGAAACTTATAGTAATTATATAATCACAGCAAAATAATATACCAAGACTAATGATTTATATGAACTCATGCTTATTAATATCAAGTATATTTGGCAGTACCTAGTATGTTGAGGGAAAAAATCTCAAAATGTCAGGAGAAATTGGCTAAGATTATAAATATACTACTGTTTTAAAAATGTATATTAATATATCATGCTTACCAGTGGATATTTACACAAACATCAGTTACTGCTTAGGAAAACCTTTTGTTCAGATGTTTAATTTACAACTGAGGATTTGGAAAGCTTTCTGGTTACTAGAATACTGTTATCAAACATATATTATAAATAAACTTGAACTTAGATAAATTTGTAACGGTATGTTCACAATTAAGCATTTGATCAAGTATACATATATTTGGCTTTTGCTCATTGAAGACAGCATTATTCTGTAATCCAACTTTGAGAAAACAGAAAATAAGGCTATCAGAAAGAGGAGCTGTAAATAACATACATGTTTATTTGTATATGTAGACGCAAAATTTTTCATGGTATCTAGTGTAATCCTTTCATTTGACACATGACACTTGGATCAGACTTGCTCTAAGCCATAAGTCAGTTAGAATTGAACAAGTCCTGGAAATTCTAAAAGCCATGACTTGATTTTTTTCCTACTCCCTTCATGACCTCCTACCCTGCCCCAACCTTTTCCTCTTCTGCCCAACTTGGCTCTTGCTATCCCCACCAAAATTCTTTCTAATACTTCCTGATAACTTTTGTAGCATTTCAAAATCCTTGCATTTTGGAACCTTAGCTCATTCAGAGTTCCAAATATCACTTTCTAAACCCTCTCCTTCATCATAAGTGCAAAAGCATAGCTGCTTTTATTGTTGGAGATCTAGACATGTCTCTTTTCATTAAGCCAAATATATCACTTTCCTTTAGTTTTTTTTTTGTTGCCTATAGTTTGTTTTCTTTGTTTGTTTATTTCCCCACAATGTACTATAATATGTAATACTCTGAAGTTAATTTGAGATAGAGATCAAACATGAACTCTGGAGCTGAAAGTTGCCCAGCTTAATGCATTTTGCCTCCTTCTCAAAAATCATTACCACGCACTTATTGAATTTGACTTTGATCTGAAACAAAAAACAAATCCAAATTTGACTGTTGTGGTTTTCTGCATTTATGATATTTAATTTTTCTCATCTTTTCTGGGTTTAGGGACTCATAGAGAATTGGTTGTTTACATTTAAAGGCAAGTTTATTGGTTCTTTATATGTTGGCTCCTAACGAGCATATGTAAAAGAAAACAAACTTTGTTAAATTAAGTCAATAAATAATATCAATGAAAACTTAATTTATAATTTAGATGGTACAAAATAAAAGTGTCAGTATAGATCACATTTTCACATCAAACCTAATACATCTATTATTTGGATATTTATTATGTTATTATAGATATCTCATGACAAAGTGGTAAAAATTCCCCACAAAGAAGATCGAGACCTAGGTTCATTAAAACTTCTGCTAAAATAATTCTTTTAAAAAGATTATCCAGTGTGGACTCAAGGACCAAGAAAATGTCTTATTCATCACTGTTTCAAAGATTCATTATGAGTAGTATATAATAGATGCTTAATGGTGGAAGACAATTCTCAATGAGTCTCCCACATTTCTGTATGTTTTGTAACAGCTTTATTCCAGTCTTTCCAAGGATCTTTGTAGAGCTCACAGTCTGAGAAGATTAGAGCTAGTGTTTCACCCTAAGTTAGAAGGCACAATGTTACCTCGACCCATGGAGTGTGGGGCACACTGAGTCACTGATGGGGTTTGGACATGGTTCACAGTGGAGGAAGGAGTTAAAATTATGTTCTGGGTGGGGTACTTTAGGCCAATTCAGTGTTCTGCTGTTGCTTCTATATCTGAATATACAGTAGAAATTGACCTGTTAACATGTTTTACTTTTCTATCCCATAAGTGCCAGAGGGGATTATCCCAATAAGGGAATGTTGCAAGTAGAAAAGAGAGAAGTACTACTATGATAAACTCTCTTGTGATTTGTCACCTGTGGGACACCCACTGAGTCAGCATTTAGTGCATCTCTACCATCTGATGTCCAAAGCTTTCACTATATAAATGAGATCCTGTTGGTTGTATGTGAGCTATATCTCAATTTAAAAGTCCTTAGTTTTGACTGTCCTGATCATGGTGAGTAATTATCACATATCTCTGCATTCAGAGGCTGGTTGATAAATCTGAACAAAATTCTGAGCCTGCATTCTGAGGCTTGTTCATCAAGTAGTTTCTTGGGACTTGGCTATGTGGGAGAATGTACAACACTCAGTCTCCCTAGTAGCCAAGGAAAAACTCCTGTTTTTTCAGTTTACCATGAAAAAGGAATCCCAACATCATATCACACACTTTCAATAATGGAGATAATACAAGTCTCTGTGATTAATGATTTTGCCAATTGAAACCTCTGGCCTCCACCTGGAGCATCCCTTGTGATTTTGGAGTTGTGGCCTTTCTGATACTGATACCAGGTATGTTCTTATTGAAAATCAGCTATTACCTTCCTACTGGACTATTTGAGACACTAAATGACTGGCCCTTGGAGACCTTGTGACTTTCAGGCCTTATATTCCCAG